GCTGAATTCAACTTCAATTAAGCTCAAAAAGCTTAATTCCACCTCCAAAGCGTCAAACTCTACCAAAGCCAGTTTGTTATCTTCTAAGAAATCCTCAGATCTGCTCAATCTGAGCTCACCAAAGAACAAGACAACTAAACCCACTTCCCCAAAATCAGAGAAACCCACAATTACAGAAAAGAATAAAGATTCATCAGAGTCCAAGAAGAATCAAAACGCAGAAACCAAAAAACCCAACAAGGAAAAGACTCAGAAGATACTACCCTTTTGGCTTGATCAGGAAGATGACGATTTAGTATCGGAATTCAGAGATCTACCCATTAGATTTCAGCAAACTCTATTACCAGACCTGGAGAAAATTTCAACAACTTCAAAGGCTTACATCACCAAAGCCAACAAACAAATCACAAGAGGATTTAAACCTTACGTCGGCAACAAATACGCTCCCACTATTGCCTCCTTCGTCTCCTTAGCCTTCATCTTGATCCCTCTGGTTCTCGTCTCGCTCATCTTCAACCGCTTCAAAGCTTATTTCTCCCTACAGAAAATCTTAATCTTCATCCAAGTTTACCTCTCCATCTACTTCACCATCCTCTGTTTCTCTTCGCTTGTCACCGGCTTAGAACCGCTGAAGTTTTTTTACGCTACTTCGCAGTCCACGTACATCTGCGTACAGGTGATGCAGACATTGGGATACGTGTTGTACCTTCTGCTGCTCCTGATGTACCTCGTCCTCGTCTTCTCCACTGACTGTGGTCTGGGCTTGAAGCTACTCGGCCTGGCGCAGACATTCGTGGGCTTTGCAGTTGGGTTGCACTACTACGTGGCAGTTTTTCATAGGGTGGTGCTGCACCAACCACCGAAGACCAACTGGAAGGTACACGGGATCTATGCCACGTGTTTCCTCCTGATTTGTCTGTTCTCCAGAGCTGAGAGGAGGAAGAAAGCTTACTTGGAAGAGGGAGGTGAAGAGGGGAAGAAAAATTAATTTAATTCAAAAATATTTTTGGTTATAGAAAACTGGAGTTGCTCCCATAATGATTTCAGCCAAAATTATCAACAAAAAAGAATCAACTGGGCGGCTGAGACTGTGGATTAAATGTCTTGTTCTCTTTCATTTTCTCCCTGTCCAATTAATCATTTTCAATTTTTGTCAATTAATTATATAGGAAATTAGGGTTGACCCACTAAAAATGTGTTTGTGGGCATTTTGAGTACCATTGGCCAAGAAAATCCATGGTATTTGTTCTACAAAATAGAAAGGGGAAGAAGATTTTTGGCAAATTGTATTATTTTTAATCAATAAAATTGTTCCTTATTACTAGTAAATTAGTAGTATAAATATAAATTATCTTTACTTATTAATATTATAAATTAATATTCAACATCAAATAGTGAGTCTCCTTTTATTATTATATAAACGAACAATATAGATTGAGATTTATTATTTATAAAAATTAACAGAAACTTAGGCTACTGAGCCCTCAAATCTGAGCTGCCAACTACACTTATAGCCAAATCATTTAAATTATAAGTGGTTCTTCTTGTTTCTTATAAATCAATTAGTTGGTTCTTACATTTTAATTTTAGAATTATCATTTTTTTTTAGATTTACAAATTGTGATATTTATTATTTTAATTTACTTTAAAATTAAAATATAAGATTATTCAAAGATTAAATTATAGGAAGTTTTCTAATATCAACTTAATATACAAAATTGTTTTTTGTTATAGTAGTTTTATTATTAAATTATTTATAGTTTCAGTTTTTAATTATTCAAAAAAAAAAAAGACGAATTTCCAGAAATTGAAAAAATAAAATTCTAACCAAGTAGACCCAAACTAGTGAATTTAATGGTCCCATGTCTTTGAATTTCTTTAGTTTGTGTAAAATATTGACAGTTTTGCAGATTCTCCCCGACAGATATAATATATATATATATATATAAGGCTATTTTGGTAATTTAAATAACACCGACGGATTAAATTGAGTGTGTCGGTGGCGGCGGGAGCTGATGTATGCTAGTGAACCGACACCGTTTCATAACGTGTTTTGCTTTGACGACTGTCGCGTATTCTTTTGTCCCTTCTTCACTTCATGCCGACTAACCATACTTGATCAAAAGATACAAATTTCATCCTAACAAAAAGAAAAAGAAAGGGTTTAAATTGAATGTGCATTCTAATTTTTTAACATAATCCTAAGTTAGTCTATAGATTTTCAAAATATATGATAAATAATTAATTAAAATTTATTTTAAATATTTTATTTTAAGATAGTGTTTCTATAAATTTAAAATTATAAAAATAATATTATAATCATTAAATTTTAATAATTATTTCTCTTTAAATATTAATGTCTCTGGCTTAAAATTTAGCTTTATTAATTTTTATTTTATTTTATTAGATATATATTAAATATTTTTTGAGAATTATACGTTTTAAATAATTTTATTTTTATTGTTTAAAAATTTTGTAAAATGTATTATAACTATGCATAAACTTTTTAGTAAATAACTTTGCATAAATTTACCAAATATACATGTAGCTTATCATATTATATATTTTAACTACTTACATATAGAATATTCAGAAATAAAATTAATTAAAAGAATACTATTAATGGACTATCTGTATTGACTATATGAATTTTTTAAAAAAATATTAGTAACACAATTACTTAGTCTAATTAAAAAAGTAAATTAAAGAAATTATACATAAATTAACTCCTATCACCAAATTAGGTCAAATTTTACTGCTAAAAGAAAAAGCATCACGATCAAGTATAACTCCATCATTTATCAAAAGTAGGTCCCAATAGAAAAACTCATAATTGAGGTCATTATAATATTCTTCACCAATTAATTAGAAAATGACTTTATTTTTTCTATTACGTTTTATTAAATCATTCATCACAGTTAATAATAAAGTATCTAACATAAAAGATAAATAAAATTAAAATATTATGTAATTCATGTACTTCTATTGTAATATCCTTAATTAATTTTAAAAAAAATTAAAATTAATGTATGAAAATTTATTTTTAAATTTTTATTTAATTTAAAAATGAAGAAAAATATGTGGATAATGAAATTGAAAATAATTTTTAAAAAATAGGTAAAAATTTGGATTCTATGTGTGTTTTTAAAAAAAAAAACAGAAACTAGGAAGTCAAAACGTAATTTAGGAAAAATGTGTCATGTACGACACCCAATCAACAGCTCCGATGAACTGGAGCACACCGCGTGGCAAGGCACGCTGGCACGGTGCCACATGGAAGGCCATGTTGGCAATCCACGTGACCGCGATCGAAAGGCCCGGATTTGTTCCCGCGCGTGTGGACGGTCCAGATCCGTTCTCTCTTTAAACGCGATCGTACACTCCAGATCAAATCACAATTAACGGTTCAGATTCACTTCCTATTTAAATGCGATTGGATGGTCCAGATCAAATCGTGATAAACAGTCCATATTCACTTCCTATTTAAACGCGATTGCACGGTTTAGATCAAACACGATGGACGGA